CTCTAGCGCCTGCTAATGTGGGAAGGGAGCAGCAGATAATGGTTCAAGTACTTGAGACCATGCCACCCATGTTGGAAATTCAGCTTGAGTTCCTGACTCCTGGCTTTGACCTAATCCGACTCCAAATTGTAATGTAGTGAATTGCTGGCATCCCATATGAGTGCCAATTTGAATCCCAGCTGCTCCACTTCCCATCCAGCTCCCTGTCAGTATACCTGTGAAAGGCCCTTCCACCCACATGGGACCTGGATGAAGTTCCTGGCTCCTGGCTTCGGCCTGCTCCAGTTCTGGTTGTGGCAACCATTTGAGGAGTGCACCAGCAGATTGAATTTCTTGCTCTGTCTCCCCCCTCTCCACCTCATAACTCTTTCAAATAGACTAGTAGTAATAATAGTAATAATAGGTGATTAAGTGGAAATATTGTTTAGAAAAATGGTAACAGTCCAATAATGGTTAGTGGTTTAACTTATACTCTTTCAATGTATCATATAGAGGTTTACTAATTAATTTTTTCTGTAAAGCAGAGGAAAAGGGAAATGAGCTTAGAAATCATAAGAGAAAAGTAAAACATGATCTAGAAAATATTAGAAATATATAAAAATATTAGAACATTAATTCGAATTCATACTAGGTTTCCTGTTTTAAAACTTGCTTTTACAAAATCATAGGAACAGATGTGTATATTTCAGTAAATTATTTTAAGCTCTATATCCTTGTAGCTGCCACACACACCAAGCAGTAGAACTTTTGCTTGTGACTCTACTTTTCCCAAGAATAACATCTTCCCAGTTAGTATTTTTTCTTCTGTGTTGTTTTTATCACCCAACTGTGCCTTCCTGTCCACTATGGTACAGCTTTTCTGTTTTGTTTTTTGAGCGTGTGTTTTCTAAGCATATCATTTTAAATCTCTTTTACTCTACAGATTCCCTTGTTCCCTTGCTCATCCTTTTTCTTATAGCCTGGTTGCTGAGCCCATGTTCATGATACAGTTCACCTGTTTCTGCTGTCCTCTGTGTGTGTTCGCAGTAGACAGCTCAACCTAGGCAGGAGTGAGCAGTTTAAGTACCTCTTCATTGTGTTCTTTTTTTCTGGAAGGATCATCCTGACTGCTTTCTGCTCTTCTTTGATGTTAATAACTGCTTTTATTCAGTGCTTAGATTATTAATTTTTTGGAGGCTGTAAAATGACATACCTTAATTCTATATTTTTATTTCTTTGTTGGAATTGATTTTGTAAATCACTTTTTTTTTTCATCCAGTGGTTTAGTTCATATAGCATGGAAAATGATGTTTGACTTTTTAATGATTTTATTACTGTCACAAAGTTACTCTTTTTGGTGTAAATTTGTTTGTTTTATTTGAAAGGCAAATACAGAATTGAGATCTGTCAGATGTTAGTTCACTTCAGGAATTCTAGCATTCTTGTATCCCATAACCCTTTGTTATATTCCATATTACACTAAAAACAGTGGTTGTAATATATTGCTTATTGTGGAAACAAACTTCTAAAAGTTTAATATCCTTCCCGCCCTCATTTTTTTACTGTGTCTCTGAATTTATACTGTCAGGCCATATTGTCACTACATGTTACAATATCTGTTTCAGTTACCATTTAATCTTAGTTCCACAAGTAATTCTGTATTTAAAAGGTAACTTTATTTCAAAGTTTCTAGTTTGAAGGAGACTTCAACCCTTTTGTAGCTGACAGCAAATATTTCGTGTAGGTGATATGAGGCAGATTTTGAAAGAAACATGTCAGAGTTTTCTGTCCTTTTTAAAAATATATATATGTAGATTTATTTTTATATGCAAGTCATATATACAGAGAAGGGAGACACAGAGGAAGATCTTCCAGCTGATGATTCATTTCCCAAGTGGCTGCAACAGCCAGAGCTGAGTTGATCAGAAGCCAGGAGCCTCTTCCCGGTCTCCCACTTAGGTGCAGGGTCCCAAGGCTTTGGGTCGTCTGCCCTCGACTGCTTTCCCAGGCCACAAGCAAAGAGCTGGATGGGCAGTGGGGCTGTCAGGATTAGAACCAGCACCCAAATGGGATTCTGGTGTGTGCAGGGCTAGGAGTTTAGCCGTTAGGCTACTGTACCAGGCCCTCTTTTGTCCTTTTTAAGTGTGTTTTAAAATTTTATTTTCATTTGCTTGAAAGGCAGAGTGAGTGAGTGACTAAGTTAAGAGAGAGTGGAAAAGAGAAATTCTTCATCTACATTTTCAGTCTGTAAAGGTCCACAACATCTAAGCATGGGCCAGCCTGAAGCCACGAGACTGCAGCTCTATCCAGGTCTCTTACACAGGAGGCAGGGCCCAAATACTTGAGCCATAATGTGTTGCCTTGCTGGATGCATTGTCAGGAAAATGGGTAGGAAATGTAATAGCCAGGACTCAAACTAGGAACTCCGAAATGGGATACCAGCATCCCAAACTGTGGCTTAATGTGCTAAACCACACCATCTACCCTTTATTTTTGTGCTTGGCACTGTAGTCTAGTGGCTAAAGTCCTTGCCTCACACACGCAGGGATCCCATATTGGTGCCAGTTTGTGTCCCGGCAGCCCCACTTCCCATTCTGCTCCCTGTTACCGGCCTGGGAAGGCAGCAGAGGACGGCCCAAAGCGTTGGAACCCTGCACCCATGTGGGAAACCTGGAAGAAACTCCTGGCTCCTGGCTTTGGATAGGTGCAGCTCCAGCCATTGTGGCCACTTGGGGAGTAAATCATCAGATGGAAGCTCTTTCTGTCTCTCTCTCCTCCTTTCTATATATCTGACTTTCCAACAAAAATAAATGAATCTTTTCAAAAATATATTTTTTCAAGAGAGGGAGTGTACTCCCATCTGCTGGCTCATTTCTCAAGTACCTGCAAATACTGACAAAGACTGGGCTGCTGGTGGGAGCTGAAAATTCGATCCAGTTGTACCACAGGGGTGGCAGGGACTGCCACACTTGAGCCACTCTAGGGCCTCCCAGACAGCTGTAGTTAGGAACCTGAACCAGATCCTCCGCTGTGGAGATTCGTATTCTGATCAGGGACTCACCTGCTAGGCCGAATGACCACCCCTCATAATCTATAATTGAATTACCTATATTCCTACATATCCTAAGCATTTGTTATGATGTATTTTCCTTCTGATATAACAATTGAGTTATCTGTTGAGTGGTGCATCTCTTTAATGATATTCCTTAAATGATTGGTGGTCTTGCCTTGTATACTTGGTGTTATGCTTGTGATTCCTAGTTGACTTTGTTACTGGTGCTATTTTATTTATTTATTTATTTACTTATTTATTAGGATTGTATAGTCCGATATTTTCTAACTGCAGTTTGCCTTTTTCAATTTGAGCTTCTCCATTCCTCTGGGATCACTCTTAATTCTAATTCCCTCTTCCTAGTGGCCCCGGTTGCTGGATTTAGATAGGCTGTGCACTCTTCTATCTCCCAATCATGTTGAGGAGGGATTGGTAGGTACTGACTACCTTAGCTGTTCCCTACCTCACTGTCCTGAGAGTAATTTGGAAGCCCTTGCTGTTTCTTTTACCACGGCCTCTGAACGTGTGTCTGCTGACTATTTCTGTGTCTGATGTCGATAGAACTCAGAATTGGGCTGTAATTGCACTTTTTTTTCCCTCTGTATAAGCTTTATTTTACCTTCTTTGTGTCTTTAAGGTTTTCTAAAATGTTTGAAATAGTGAAAACAGTGAAGGGATGAATATTATTTTAAGGCCTTATATATTCATCATTTATTTTCTCTGGTGCTTTATGGAGTTGGAAGTCATAGTGAAGTAAATGAAGACATCGTGATAAGAACGCTAGTTTTCCATCTTTTAGTCTGCCACTTTCATCCATAAACATCTTTTTAAAAGCAATTTTGATACTCTAATAATTATGAAGAATTGGCAGTAGAAAATGGCAGCCAAATTAATATATATTATTGCATATAATCTTTTAGGCATTAATAAGATTTTATTTAAGAAGGACTTTTTGGAACCATTTCTTAATGATTTGTTCTTGTTCTAGGGGAATTAATGATAACTTCATATTTATATTAACATGAATTAATTCTGTCTTCTCAGCAAATGCATGATTGGGGTAAAACATTCTTGCTGTGCTAGGTTGCCTGTAAAATGTTCCAAGTGAAGCAAAACTGTTTAAGGATTGACTAGTATCTAAGAAAAGTATTTTAATCCTGTTCATTCTGTTGATAATAAAGGTTCTCTGTTCAAATTGAATCAGATTTAAAAATCTCATTCATTCTGGCCTGGTGTAATGACCTAGTGGCTAATCCTCGCCTTGCATACACCAGGATCACATGGGCCAGTTCATGTCCCAGCTGCTCCACTTCCTTCAGCTCCCTGTTTGTGGCCTGGAAAGGCAGTGGGGGATGGCCCAAGGCCTTGGGACCCTGTGCCTGTGTAGTGAGACCCGGAAGAAGCTCCTGGCTTCTGGCTTCAGATTGAATTAGTTCTGTCTGTTGTGGCCACTTGTGAGCCAGTGGACGGAAGATCCTTCTCTCTGCCTCTCCTTGTCTCTGTAAATCTGCCTTTCAAATAAAAATACATGCATGCATACATACATTTTAAAAATCTGATTCATTCTTCAAGGCATAATTGAAATGCTATTCTCTGGAAATTATCCAAATTCAAGAATAATTCTGTGATGTTTCTGATGTGTTAACGTTATTTTAATAGATCTTCTCATATATTATCAATATTGTTCTATTACAGGTTCTCCTTCACCAAAAAGTCAAACCCAGTCATAAGTTTAGGAAAATTCTGGAGTTATTTTTGCTAAATGAATGAGTTTCATTAATGCAACACCTAGGCTTGTTTTGAAATCTGTTCTTTATTTTTATGAATAACAGTTGACACTTGGACTTATAAATATTTTGTGAATCTGTATCACTTCTGAAAATGTCAGTTTTTAAAAAACTACTAAATAAGTGTATTTTTAAAACATATTTTCTGCAACAGAAGTGCCTTATTTTTTTTTTTTTTTAAGGATCAAAGTAACAATGAAATTACAATTGGAGTGATGTCAGGAGGAATTCTGATTTATAAGAACAGGGTACGAATGAATACCTTTCCATGGTAAGAACATATTTCAATACTTTTAATTTCATCACTGCATTACCAAATATGATACTTGGTATTAAAAAAAATAGCTGTTCAGCTACTTTAATGCTGTAAATTATCATGTGATATGACTTGAACGTTATTCCATTTATTTGTAACCTTCCAGAATTATTTCATATTCTCTTATTAAAGATACTATGAATTGTTCTGTTAGAGAACCTCTAAATATTCACTGTAGTAATAACATTGGTGTTCATGTCTTCCGCCATGACGGTGCTGTAAGTACAGTAACTCACTTAAGTGCGTTACTAGAATGCTCATTGATTGCTACTTTATAGAGTAAGTGCTGTAAAAGACTCAGTATTATGTTGTTTTACATAGGTGCAAGGAAGATCTCTCTGGGGTTTAACATTCATTGTTTCTTGTCCCGTCAGTCTGTAATCCCTTCACCATGTTACCCTGGTCCTCATTGTTCAGAATGACTTGCCAACTCATTTTTGTGTTCCGCAATTGGGAAAATAGAAAAATAATGTCTTCCACTTGCTTTAAAGGGATAAAATCACTTAAAAATTTAAAAATCACTTTGTGGTCATATCTTATGTATATCTAATATTTTATATTTGTGTCTGTTTTTATGTGAAGTTTTAAAATTTTTGCTAACTAGTTATTGTCTTTAAGAATCAAATATCAAAGAAATGTTAATTTATTCCTCTTTTATTCCTCCTGAAAATTTTCAGTATTCATTATTGATATTTAATAAATTTACTTTTTAATTTTCTATCTGGCTAAAATCAAATTATTTTTTAAAAATCCCTTTTTGTATATTCACGTTTTAGACAGAGACAGACAGACATCATCCGTGTGCTGATTTATTCCTCTTCTGGCTGCAGCAGTTGAGATTGGGCCAGAATAAAGCCAGGGCCTAGAACCCCAAAGTGCTGACAAGAACCTTATCACTGCGTTCCAGGGACACATTAACCAGAAGCTGGAATTGAGAGCTGGGTCTTGGACTCCAGCCAAAGTCTTCCAGTATGGAATGTGCATGTGTGAATTGACTATAGTCATTTTACTAATTTATAGGAAACCTAGCAGGAGCAAATATTTCAGCAAGCTACTACAACCTTGCTAAAAAATAAAGATCAGTTTCCTGGAGAAGTCACAAAACATGAAAAATGAAATGTAAATTCAGTGAATAATTGACAAAATAGTCTTCATTTAATTTCAGTTTAAAGTGTTCCTTAAAAAAACACTCTTTGGAAAATGATAGGACAAAACACAATCTTCTTGGAAATGAATATCTGGTACGAGAGTTGGAAGTTGAGTATGTGAGAACTTGCACGGCTCATAGAGAGAGCCTGCTTAAAAGCAATTGGCAAGATATGTGAATGACTACTTCCACTGAAGAAAAAACGCAAATGGGAAATAAGCACATGAAGATTATCTTCACTAATAAAATTTAAACTGAGGTGACTGTAGTTCAAAAACTTACAGAGTGATGCCAAGAAAATGGGAAACTAGAAATTTCATACATTTCTGATGGAATGCAAAATAATACACCACTTTGGAAAGCAGTTTGGCAACCTCTTTAAAGTTAATCATGATTTCTTTTTTACCATATTATTTAGCCAAGTCTGGTCCTAGTTATCTATTCAGGAAAACCTAAATTTGTGTGAGGATGTGTGCATTAGTATTCATAGCTACAGTATTCATCATCACAACATAAAAGCGAAATCCAAATGTCTAGCACCCGAAAGAATAAACAAGTGATCTTACAGCCAGTGCAGTTATGTTCATCATTGGAAATAAATGAACCATGTGGATGATCCTACTCTGAAAAACATTATGATAAGTACAAGCTAGTAGGCACTGGAGATGTTTCTGGTTGTTTCCAATTTATGAGAAATACTTGGGAACAAATTATGGACACAAAAATGTCAGTGTTAGCCAGGGACTAAAAATTAGCAGAGCTCATTCACTGCCTAAAGGTACCAAGAGCCCTTCTGAGGCTGATGGATCTGTGATATGACTGTTGTGGGTAGTCATTGTACCACCAGGTACATTTGCAAAACTCACTGAATTATTTGCTTGGAGTTTATGCATTTTATGGATTATACATGTTGTTCCTCTGTAAGTTCATCTGTAAAAACTGGAATCATTTAATGTTTTCATCTCAGACCTTTTTTTTTTATTATTTCCTATGTAATTAAAATGCTGAAAATTTAAGTACAGAAAACAAACCAATTGAAGATACAGCTCTTGCCTTTAAGTGTAGATACTATGACATACAGAAATTAAGTACAAAATGCAGTAAGAAAATATATTTTGGGTACTTCAGAGAAGAGAATTCTTTTGAATTTTTGTAATGACAAGTTTGCATCTTACATGCGAAAAAATTTCTGAATTAATACAAGTATATTCTATAAATACCTACCTTTTTTTTTCTTCTTCTTTTAAACCTACTTAAAATTACTTATTTATTTGAGCAAGAGAAGAGAACTTTTACCTGCTTGTTCTCTCCCTAAATGCCCATATCTAGGTCTGAGCCAGGCTGACCCTTAGAGCCAGAAATTCAGTCCTAATTTCCCTACATGGGTGGCAGGGACCCAGCCATTCTATCAGCTGCTGTCCCCAGGGTGGATAGTTACCAGACACTGGAATCATGAGCTGAACTGGAGCTTGAACCCAGGTACTCCCATATGTGATGCAGGGATCCCAGGTGACATCTCAGCTACCACATCAGATGGCCACACCAGTTTTATGTTTTTATTTATTTCATATTTTATATAAATGACAAAGTCAGGAATAAATTATTTTCAGATGAGATTGTTTTAAAAGCAGCCTTGGTTTATGCTTTTAAAATTCTATAACACATGAGTATATGTTTGTTACTAAGAGATTCTGGAATAGTTATTGACTGCTCTGGAAAGAAAAAAGAATAAAATCTCTTTGTACTGGGTATTTCACTGGCTCTAGCCAAAATGCCATTTTTTGTTTGTTTTTAATGAATCATTTATTTGGACCTGGTGTGATGGCTCAGTGGCTAAATCCTTGGCCCTGCACATGCCAGGATTCCATATTGTCCCGGCTGTTCCACTTCCCATCCAGCTCCTTACTTGTGGCCTGGGAAAGCAGTCGAGGATGGCCCAAAGCCTTGTGACCCTGCACCTATGTAGGAGACCCAAAAGAAGTTCCTGGCTTCTGGCTTTGGATCGGCTAAGCTCCAGCCATTTGGCCACTTGGGGAGTGAACCAACAGACAGAAGATCTTTCTCTATGTAAATCTGCCTTTCTAATAAAAATAAATAAATCTTTAAAAATTTATTTTAGAAAAGATTCATTTATAACTGAATTTGCAAAGGAGAGAGACAGAGATCTTTCATCCTCTGGTTCATGCCCCACATGACTGCAATAGCTAGAGCTAAGCCAATCTGAACCCAAGAGTGAGGAGCTTCCTCCAGGTCTGCAACATGGGTGCAGGAGCTCTGGGAACTTGAATCATACTATACTGCTTTCCTAGGCCTTTAGCTTGGAGCTGAATCAGAAGTGGAGCAGCATGTACAAGAATTGGTGTCCATATGGGATGCTGGTACCGGAAACAGGATCAGCTTGCTCTGCTGCTGCACCAGCCCTGGAGATGGCTTTTAGAGGAATAGAAATTTCCTCCTTTGAAAGGGGAAAATGAAACTGAGCATATAAATCATATAAATAGCATGATCGGGGTTAGAAGTATGAAAAATTTACACAGATATAATGAGTTTTAAAATGGCAAATTAAATGTGAGATGGTGGGATGCTTGGTTTACATTTTCCTTCTGTTTTTCTTGTTTAGGAAAGACAGAAAAGCAAGAATTTAGGAAGAAGTGGCTTGGGGGAAAAATTGGATTTAGATAATGAACAATCTTGAACATTATATGCTGAAAAGTTGGTGTTTTATAGGTAAATATTCTTAGAGGAAGTTTAGAATTACAAAATAGAACTCAGGAATATTCAACAAGTTTGCAGAAAATGGAATTTTAGATTTATTTTTTTTATTATTTTTTCATTGGAAAGGCGAATATACAGAGAGGAGAGACAGAGGAAGGTCTTCCGTCCGATGATTCACTCCCCAAGTGAGCGCAACGGGCCGATACTATGCCGATCCGAAGCCAGGAGCCTCTTCCGGGTCTCCCACGCGGGTGCAGGTTCCCAAAGCTTTGGGCCGTCCTCAACTGCTTTCCCAGGCCACAGGCAGGGAGCTGGAAGGGAAGCGGGGCTGCCGGGATTAGAACCGGCGCCCATATGGGATCCCGGGCGTGCAAGGCGAGGACCTTTAACCACTTGCGCCACCGCGCCGGGCCCAGAAAATGGAATTTTAAAAGGTGATGTGCTGGGCAGCCGTTTATTTGGTCAAGTAGTTAAGACCCCTGCATCTCATATATCAGAGTATTTGAATTCAAGTTCAAATTCTAGCTCTAGTACCTGATTCCAGCTTCCTACTAATTTGCAACCTGAGTAGAATCAGATGATGCAATTCACAAGGGCGACCTGAATTGAGTGTTCAGCTCCCATCTTCAGTCTGGCTCATCCCTGACTTTTCCTGAAAGTTTTCTTGCATTTCTTGGTACTTAATATATGAGTTAGGCTTTAAAAAAAAAAAAGATGTGAGCACTTATTGATTATAAACTCCTGAATAATAGCATTTTAAGTTTTTATTTTCAGGTATTAAAGTAAAATGGGCCAAATGTTGTGACACTGCAGATTAAGGCATTGCTTGTAATGCTGATATCCCGCATCCAATCACCAATTTAAATTCTGGGTACTCCGTTTCACATCCAGCTTCCTGTTGATGTTTCTGGAAAGGCAGTGCAGGTGACCCAGGTACTTGAGCTCTTGCTACTCACTAAGGAGACCAGGATAGAATTCTGGCTCATGATTTTGATATGGCCCAGCTCTAGCTATTGCAACTGTCAGGGTGGGTAGTGAACCCATGAGATGGACTATCTCTCTGACTCTGTCTTTCTGTTCTGCCTTTCAAATA